TGCTCCTGATCTCAGCGTCCAGGCTGCTCTGCAAGGACTCCACCATTCTGAGGTGATTTCTTTTCATCTGGTCGATCTCTTCATCTTTCTCTGCTACCTTCCTGTCAATCTCAGCCTTGACCTGGTTGAGCTCAAGTTGGAGACGCAGGATCTTGCCCTCTTCGTGTTCTAGGGAGGCCTGGACAAGTGGATGCAAACATTTGTAATGTTGATAAAGCTTTCTAGGTAATTACAGAATATTTTAGGAAGTTTCAGCTGGCTGCACTTCCCAGCCAGAACAGAGGATCAGCAAGCAGGTTTTAGCCATATTTGCCCATTGCTCATATTTTATTGCAGAAACCAGTGATTATTGTCATGTACCTCAGCTTCCTCCAAGGCAGCCTGGATTTCAGATTTCTCCTGCTCAATCTGCTTCTTGATTTTCTCCAGCTCATGAATTGCTTTTCCTCCCTCTGCAATCTGCTCTGTGAGGTCAGAAATCTCCTCTGTGGGAACAAGGACCAATAGCATGGTTGAGCACAGAGCAGAATGGGAAGGTCCCTGGCACACCAAGCTGACAGGTATCTTTGCCCACCTACAGGCACAGAGCCATGTGAAGCGGTGGGCACTGGTGGGTGGTGAGAAAGCCCTGCCAGGAGCAGAGGGCCAGGGACTTACGCTGCAAGTTCTTGTTCTCACGCTTCAGCGTTTCCAGGTGGTCCAAGGACTCCTCATAGGCATTCTTCATCTTAAACAACTCCGTGCTAAGAGAGCGGGCCTCCTTCTGGGAGGCTTCCAGCTCAGCCTGTGTTTCTTCATACTTCTGCTTCCATTCTGCCAGGATCTGAAGAGAAACGGGGTGTCAGTATGGATGTGACAATCAGGAGGGGATGCCCTGCCCAGGAGCCCTTAGGCTGGAGCCTAAAAGACCTTGTCAAAGTTCTTCTGCTTCTTATCCAGAGCTGCACAGGCAGCGTTTGATCTCTCCACATCAATCATCAGGTCCTCCACTTCATTCTGCAGCCTCTGCTTTGTCTTTTCCAGGGAGGCGCATTTGGCATTGACAGCTTCAACATGTTCTTCTGCATCCTGCAGGCGCTGCGCCAGCTTCTTCCTGAAAGGTGGTAAACACAGGTTCAGGTGAGGAAGCAAATGGGAGCCTGTCTCTGGCAGCCAGTATGTTTTTCATAGGATCACTCTATGCCACTTGGTTGTGTGTGATCTCCATTTACACAGAGGTGTAGGACGTCTCCCAGCCAGCCACTGTAATTCTATTTCTGAATCCAGGGCTGAAGCAATTCATGGCCTGCTTTGCACTCTGCTGCTCACACCAGTATGTCTCTGCTATTCTGCATCTGAAGAGCTTTGCTGCTTCTGCTTTTCGCCCATGCACACCTGCTCTTTCTTATATTCTCTCTTCCTGCCACCCCATCCCAAAGCAGAGCATTGACTTCTTCCTGACAGTATCACTGTGGTCTCCTTCAATTTCTATTTGCAGCCCCTCTCAGCCTTGCCCAACTTCCCCACATACTTGGCCTCCTCCAGCTCCTCCGTGCGCTGAATAGCATCCGTCTCGTATTTGGTTCTCCACTGGGCCACTTCGCTGTTGGCCTTGGACAGGGCACGCTGCAGCTCCCCCTTGGCTTCCTGCTCCTCCTCATATTGTTCCCGGAGCAAGTCACAGACATGGCGAGCAGACGGCAAGGCGTGGGCCAGCGCATTCTTGGCCTGGAGATAAAATGATTTCCATAAAGAATAGATGTTTCCTGGGAATTTTTGTCTTAGTGGTACTTAGACCCTGGAATATATCCCAGAGAAGCTGCGATTAACTGACTGCTTTTATAAGCCAAGGTCTGACATACTGCAAAAGGTGGGAATCCTGCTCTGACAGGATTTTGATAACATGACCTAATGGGATCAGCTTTTGAACTTATGAACAATGCACAAAAAAAGTGTGATGTAAAATATTTAACATATCTAACATGAAATATCTTCACCTTTATCTCTTCCTCTAGTTGCCGCTTCAATTCTTCAATCTGCTGGGTGAAAGCCTGTTTCCCTCTAGACAGCTGAGAAATTAAAGCATCTTTTTCCTCCACCTGGCGTGAATATTCACCTGGAAAAAGTTTCTAATTAAGAAGCTATTTTAACAGCCAAGAGAGTCAATTACAGGGTTGTCTCACATCGTGGTCTAACCTCATCTGGCAACTACGTACCACACAGCCTCCAGCAACTTGCTCACTCCTCCCAGTGGGATGGGAAGGAGGATTGGATAAAAGGTAAAACCCATGGGTTGAGATAAGAACAGTTTAATAATTAAAATTAAGTAAATAATAATAATAATAATGGGATAACAAAAAGAGAAATAAAATTAAAAAAAATAAAATCAAACAGTAATCCCAAGTGATGTCCAATACAATTGCTCCCCACCCACTGAGTGATACCCAGCTCTTCCCAGGCAGTGATTTGCCCCTTCTACCTAACTGCTCCAAGTTTATATCCCATTTCCAAACTAGAGGAGGAAGTGCCATACCAGATTCTGTCTGCAAACGAGCTCTTTGAGCACTGAGATCACTAATCATGCGCTGATTCTGCTCCTCCTTTGTTTTATATTCACTTAGTTGGTCTTCCAGAGTGCGACACATCTTCTCAAGGTTTGCCTAGGTGCCAATCACATGTAAGAAAATAGAGTTAATACCCCAATTCTGTCTTAGTTACAACAGGAAAGTGTGTCCAGAGAAGCAGTTTACATACCTGTGCATCACACACAGATATGTATTAGATTTGGAGAAAACAGTTATATTAAACCTCATAATAGTTAAATAAGATTAAATACAAATATTACATGGTTTTCAAATTATTAATGAGACAAAGTATCTGCGTACCTTGGCTTTGGAGACAGACTCCATATTACTGGCCAAGTCGTCGATCTCCATCTTCAGCTCGCTCTTCTCCTTCTCCAGCTTTTGCTTCACTCGCTGCAGGTTGTCGATCTGCTCCCCAAGCTCAGCGGTGCTGTCCGCGTGCTTCTTCCTCAGGGCAGCAGCTGTGGCTTCGTGCTGCAGCGTGGCCTCTTCGAGGTCACGACGCATCTTCTGGAACTCCGCCTCACGCTTCTTGTTCATCTCGACCTGAGCTGCTGTAGCCCCTCCTGCTTCTTCCAGGCGCTCACTGATCTCCTCCAGCTCCCTCGAGAGGTCAGCCCGATGCTTTTCTGCTTTTGCCCGAGAGGTTCGCTCTGCCTCAATTTCCTCCTCCAGTTCCTCAATACGAGCCTGGAGAACATCAGGAACCCTTCACATCCATGCCCTCCTCTAACCTGACCTGAGGATGGGTGTGGGAGGGGAAAGAACAGAGACTTGCCTGCAGCTCCTTGATCTTCTTCTGCAGCTGGATGCCCAGAAGCTGCTCATCCTCGATTCTACTCTGGATCTGGCTGATTTCAAAGT